TTGAAAACTTGCTCGCAGTGATGAAATATTTATCTGCTTCTGCTTCACAAAAGTATTTTACTGAGTTGTTAATGTATTTTTCAGTTTTAATATTTTATCCTTTCTCACTTCTCCGACCAAACAATCATATTTATCTTTATGTTGAGTTTCATAGTGTCGACGTAAATTGTATTCTTTGAACACAGACACTATATTCTGGCATATCAGACACACAGCTCTTTCCTTGTACTGCATGAAAAAGTAATCATAAGTCCACTGTTATTTGAATATCCTACACTCCGAGTCAATTTTTCTCTTTCTTGACATCATTGTTTCCTAGGGAGTCAAAATTGCTATTAGTAAAATACCAATATATATAGTGCTACAAAAACAATATACCAGCAATAACTTTGCCCACACAGAGACATACAGACTGCACTGCCCATCAATGCAGTCTGATTGGGGGAACTCCGCCCCCTCTCCCTCTTCCACCAATGACCGTCCTTCTCATGTAGAAAAAAAGTAACAGACAGGCAGCGGCGGCAAAAACGCCCGGCGGGCCGGATAAATGTCCTCGGCGGGCCGCATGTGGCCCGCGGGCCGTAGTTTGAGGACCCCTGGTATAGAGTCTTGATGAGGGAATTCTTCTGGGATGGATGGTGGTGGGAATCCGGTTTTAGGTAAGCATCCGTATGGGTGGCTTTCCTGTAGACAGAGTGGCTCATTGAACCATCAGGTCTCCTTTTAATTAGGACATCCAAAAAGGGTAGCTTGCCATCTTTTTCGACTTCCATGGTGAATCTGATGGCTGGGTGTATGGAATTGATGTGGTCGAGAAATTGGTTTAGAGCAGGCCGGCCATGTGGCCAGATGACAAAAGTGTCATCTACGTACCTCTTCCATAAGGTCGGGCGTAGAGTGGCAGTCTGGATGGCGTCAGTCTCAAATTTCTCCATGAAGATGTTGGCTACAACCGGAGATAGGGGGGAGCCCATTGGGGTGCCCTCAGTTTGCTTGTAGAAAGTTCCATTCCAGGTGAAGTATGTATTAGTTAAGCAGTGTCTCACCAGGGGGGGTACCCCAGCATTCAGTCCTTGATGAACCAAGTCTTCAATGATTGCCATGGTGTCAGGTACAGGAACCTTGGTAAAAAATGAAATTAAAATTTATAAAAATAAAATAAAAATCACGACGGTCCCACCTGATGACGGAGACTTGTGTTGCCTCCGAAACGTCGTGATTTTTATTATTTTTTTTTTCATTTAAATTTAAATTTTTTACCTACGTGACTTTACCGAAAGAACTAAGAGTATTCTAATATTTAATATACATTTTTAAAAAACCTCTGCAAAAAATGTGAGCTATTAGTATGTTTTCGCTATATCAACATCATCCATAAAAGGTAATGCGATCTAAACCAAAATACCCCCCTTTATTATAGAGTAATGGGCTAACAAACGACCCAGATGTGTTATTTAATACATTTCGATTTAAAGCTTTCGTCACGTAGAAGGGAAATAATAAAATAATAAAAATAAAACATAATAAAATAATTCTCACGACGTTTCAGCCACAACGCAAGCAGCCGTCCTCAGGTGAAGAATGAAAAAAAAATACTTAATAAATGTTATACTCAACTAAAACAACACGTATCTGACAATACAGCCTCGAGTGAATGCCTCATCTAACACTCACAGAAGTCGTCCCCAGCTCCACTCTGCACTGCTGGGTGATGTTTGTGCTCAGCTCCATTGCCGCTCCAAGCATCTGAACCACGTGGCCGAGTGGGGGAGGGTCTTTATACCCGAGGCGAGGTCTGTGTCGTCATCCACCAATGGGGTGACGCCTCTAGCGCCTGGCCGCAACGTCACGTGGTCGTCAACAACAAGTGACGTCACGCGATTTTGGACGATTTTTGACCCTCCCCCCTCGTCACACGGCGTCACAAAAAGTCAGACCCCCCCCCCCACCTCAAATATGACGTCACAAAGCTCTGCCCCCCCCTCCATTTTGAAAAAAAAAATTTCAAATGGCTTTAAACTGTTGTCATTGTCGTGCGTATTTAATGTGGCGCTGCACTCTGATGTTGTAGGAGAGTTGTCATAACAACTAGTGTTGTTATAACAATTCCATATTCATTTAAAGTTGCGCATTTAGATGTGACGTCAAATTTCTCACTCCCCCCTCCTCCTCGTCACACATCGTCACAAATGTCTGACCCCCCCCCAGGTGCGTGACGTCATTTATGGACGGCCCCTAAGTGTGTCGTAAACAATAACATAAATATATAATAAATATGATATAAAAAATATATAAAAAATATTGGTTCATGTTTTATTATTTTATTATTTCCCTTCTACGTGACTTTACCGAAAGAACAAAGAATGTGAATCCCTGCAGTCACGAAAGCTTTAAATCAAAACTGCAACACGATGTTTGTCCCCGGGTAGTGTTATGTTTTAATTGGCTATGCCTAAAATGGATAGAAAGTGGCAATTATCATTCCCCACAAACTTTGCTTTTTTGACCAGGACTTTGTGTGTCCTGGTCACAAAAGCAAAGTTTGTGGGGAATAATAGTAACCCACTTTCTGTACTTTTGAGGCATTAGCAATTAGAAAATATTACTCACTACCCAAGGACAAAAAAACATGCTTTTGTTACAGTGTTGTCACGATTCACCACCAGCACGATCCACGATTCACCAGCTCTACGATCCACCAGCATCACGATCCACGATCCACCAGCTCCACGATCCATCAGCACCACGATCCACCAGCTCCACGATCCACCAGCACCACGATCTACCAGCACCACGATCCACCAGCTCCACGATCCACCAGCTCCACGATCCATCAGCATCATGATCCACCAGCACCGCGATCCACCAGCACCACGATCTACCAGCACCACAATCTACCAGCACCACAATCTACCAGCTCCACAATCCACCAGCTCCACAATCCACCAGCTCCACAATCCACCAGCTCCACGATCCATCAGCACCACGATCCACCAGCATCATGATCCACCAGCTCCACAATCCACCAGCATCATGATCCACCAGCTCCACAATCCACCAGCACCACGATCCATCAGCCTCATGGCGCCTGGATCCGTCTCCTCCACGCTCCTGCAAAGCGCCAGTCTTCTGGGGTCTCTCCTCGCCGTCTGCGTCACTCACGAAGGTAACGAGGCGAGTGGGGGGCGGGGTGGGGGGCTCAAGCATCATCGCTCTTTGCCGGCTCCGCGTCTTTCATCGTGAATGTGACGGGGCACGTGGAGAGAGAGAGAGAGAGGAGAGAGAGACACCGCCAACTTCTGTACGTGTTGTTTACGTCGTTTGTTGTGGAAAGTTCGGTCACAGTTCCTGTGATCACTGTTTCATTGCTTTCATGGCTTGATTTTGGTGATTTTCGAAAAGTGTATTGGTTTGGCCATGTTTGTGTTGTTGTAGTACAGAGTTAGACTGATGGCCTTAATCTAAGTTGTCTTGTGGTTGTTTGACTTGCATCCCACTGGGATTTTTGCACACAGCGTTGGTGTGTAACGGTGCTTTTTCTGTAATATTTTGCTGTCTTTTCTTGGATTTTCTGTTTGCACTCAGTTACATATTCACTTTGAGATGTTTTTTGTTCATGTTTTAGTTTTTTTGTTTGTTGCGATTGCACCCGATTCAAGAGCCGAATGGTTCACAGGGCTATACCTAATACATGAACTTTGAAACTTTGATATATTCTAGATGTGAAGCTTTCGTGACTGCAAGGATTCATATTCTTAGGCTTTTTCGGTAAAGTCACGTAGGTAAAAAAAAAAAATAATAATAATAATAATTCACGACGTTTCGGAGGCAAAACATTACGAAGAGAAATCCCTCTACGATTTCAACAACATCCACGGGGCCTTTTTGGAATTTCAAGTTGTCTCCTGGAGCCTGGTAGGGCCCATCCACGGTAGTTGCAGAGGGAGTTTGTGTTGAGTCCAATGTGCCTGTAAGCAGATAACTGGTTCAGTGAGATAAAAAAGTTTCATGTCAATGATGGAAAATAAAATACTTCACATTTTAGCCTCATTTTTAAATAATCGTTTGTTTTACACCAAAGACTGTATATTAACACCGTATTCTCGAGAATATAAAATGCTGCTGAAAATAAGAAATTTTAATTATGCAGGGGGCAGGGGGGGGGGTCTTATAATCCAGAGAATACGATGTCAGCGATACGACATTTCCCATTGGTATTCTCTGACAGATGACCCCACTCGCTTGGTTTACCTTGAGTAGAGTCGGGGAAAATGCATGGCCATTGTGCCATTGCTGTCGCAGAGTGTTCACCCGCACACTTCACCAACAAACACATCGTCCTGCTGCTGCGGAGGGAGCTGGTAGGAACGTTGGGTTGCTCGGTCAATGGCCTGCAGGGTCAACAGCGGCGTGGTGTATTCCACCAATATGCCCGACTGAGGGCGGGCACAAGCCGGCGTGAGTAGGTTCAACGTTGATAAGGGCACCACGGGGTGACCAGCCTTTTCCCACCCAGCCCCACCCCTCCCAGCCCCACCCTCCCCACCCAGCCCCTCCCCACCCAGCCCCACCTTCCCCACCCAGCCCCTCCCCACCCAGCCCCTACCCTCCCAACCCCTACCCACCCAGCCCCTCCCGACCCAGCCCCACCTTCCCCACCCAACCCCTCCCCACCCAGCCCCTACCCACCCAACCCCTCCCCACTCAGCCCCTACCCACCCAGCACCTCCCCACCCAGCCCCACCCTCCCTACCCAGCCCCTCCCCACCCAGCCCCTACCCACCCAGCCCTTCCCCACCCAGCCCCTACCCAGCCCCTCTTTGCACGGCGGACACAATAATCTCCTGTGGGCTGGTGTAACCAAGAGGTTCCTACCAGTAAAAACATGTGACTCTCATTGTGTTTGACTTGATGTGTCTCCCCGGCCTCGCGGCTCTGCACATCCCCACGTTGTGACGACCAGCTGTTCGGGGCTGAATGTTGCGCCTTGTCTCCTGCAGTCAATATCCTCGACTCAAAGAGCGCACTGGGGGAGCCTGGCTGGATTGCCTCACCACCTGAAGGGGTAAGAAAACAAAATGACCACCTACGGATATTGGTACTGTATGAGTGCAGGCTCATGCAGCCAGTTATGGCTGCAGGGTTTGGTGTTGTTTATGTCGTTTATTGTGAAAATTCGGTCACAGTTCCTATGATCACTGTTTCATTGCTTTAATGGCTTTATTTTGATGATTTCGAAAAGTTTTTTGATTTGGCCATGTTTGTTTCTTGTAGTACGGAGTTAGACTGATGGCCTTAATCTAAATTTGTCTTTTGGTTGTTGTTGTTTGACTTGCATCCCACTGGGATTTTTCTACACAGTGTTGGTGTGTACAGTGCATTTTTTTCTGGAATTTTTGCTGTTTTTTCCCCTGGATTTTCAGTTTGCACATAGTCACATAGTCACTTTAAGATTTCGATTTAAAGCTTTCGTGACTGCAGGGATTCATCTTATTGGTTCTTTCGGTAAAGTCTCGTAGAAGGGAAATAATAAAATAATAAAAATAAAATATTAAATTCTCACGACGTTTCGGCCACAACGCAAGCAGCCGTCCTCAGGTGAAGAACAGGTCTGTCGGAAAGACAGCGTCCGAATGAGTAGTAGTGCTTATCACAACTTGGGATTTATTCCCGGCCATGTACACCGGTTTTGGAACGTTTACTGGCCCTCCATGAGGTCAACTTTGTCCTAAAAGAGTCCTTGGAATCGTGTTAAAACATATTCACGACAGAGTCAAAGGTCCATCCCCTCATACAGCATGCCAGTGATCACCAGGAGATCCTCTGATTTTCAGCCAAACATTCAAATAATGTTTAATTTGTTGCGACTAATTAATAAGTTGATAATTGGTTATTTACCCTTCTATCTGGCAACAAAACTGACACCTTTTTACAAGGAGTCATGTTTGCATAGACCACAATACCTGCAGTCATAATACAAACAAAAGACATAACTCTGATAATGTGCACTGTCCTTGAAGTTGATTGGTCCACACCCGAGACAGCTTTCCTTAGAGCCTAGTCTCACATGGGTTGGACCAGATGACGCCAAAAGGTGTGGACCAATCAACTTCAAGGACAGTGCACATTATCAGAGTTATGTCTTTTGTTTGTATTATGACTGCAGGTTTTGTTGCCAGATAGAAGGGTAAAAAACCAATTATCATATTTTTATTGGCAAATGAGGTTCCCATAGTGTAGATAATTAATAAGTGTCGGAATAATTGTGATCGTTGCCTAAAAAGCTAAGCAGCATTGAGCCTGGTCGGTAGTTGGATGAGTGACCACCAGGTACCACCACCAGGTGTTGTTGGCATGGGGATGCCGGAGATGGTCAGGAGATGACGGTGCTGAGTGGCACCACCTCGTAACTGTGGTGGATTTTCTCCGGGCACTCAGTTGAGCAGGACTGTGGTGCCAAACCATATTCGGGGAGGATCCTGTGAGTCTTTTTATCTGGAAATAATTTACATCATTGCTATTATAATAAAGGTCGTAGAAGCGACTTCTGGAATCCGGTCTTTATTTGTCTTTCATTACAACACTCCTCCACGCTGCTGACAGGCAGCGTGAGAGGGATAGAGAGAGAGAGACACGCGCGGCCACGTGGCAGCCTGGACCCCGCTTCAGCGTGGCCTCTCCCTCCGTTCATTCTAGTTCTGACCACGCGTCGACATTTTCACCCCCCCGCACGATTCCCCCGACGCGACGGCGCAAAGCGAGGAGGGAGGTGTCCTCCATTTGGAGGCGCCCCCACTCCGCAACCGACAACCCCAGCAAGGAATCCCTCCCTTCTTGCTCGATAGGACCGGCAACGGAAGGCGCATCGGCGGCGGCTGCTAAAACCGAATTAGAGCTGACATTCGGAGGTCTGCAACGCCACGAACCCAGCAGGCAAGCGCACTCAGAAGTGGGTGGTAACCGGGACAGAGCGTCCGCATTGGTGTGGCGAGTGCCCTTACGATAGGTAGTCGCAAAATCGAAATCCTGAAGGATTTCCAACCATCGAGACAATTGTCCCGATGGCTGTTGAACCCGCAAAGCATACTGCAGCGCCGCATGATCTGTGCGGACGGTGAACCGCCGACCGTACAGATATGGGCGGTATTGTTGAATGAAGTACACGATTGCCAATAGTTCCCTACGGGTAACGCAGTATCTTTGCTCCGCCGGAGACAACACCCGACTGCCGTACGCAACCACATGTTCCACGCCCCCAATAACCTGGGAGAGAACGCCCCCGATGCCCGTGTTGCTTGCGTCTGTATCGAGCAAGAAGGGTTTTGTAAAATCCGGGTAACTCAATGGCGGAGCCCCGACTAGGGCGTCCCGGAGCGAGTGAAAAGCGGCGTCTTCCTCCTTACCCCAATGAAATTTGACCCCCTTAGATGTCAAGGCATGTAAGGGTTTCGCAATGGTAGCGAAATCAGTGACAAACCGGCGGTAGTATGATGCGAATCCGATGAAACTCCTGACCTCACCCACCGAGGTGGGAGTCGGCCAGGAGCGAACACATTTCGTTTTGGCGGGATCAGTGGCAATGCCTGAACGGCCCACAATGTGACCCAAATAGCGCACCGATTCGCGGAGCAAGAAACACTTCTGGGGCTTGAACTTCAAATTAGCAGCCCGCATTTTGAGAAAAACGGCACGCAACCTCTGGAGGTGTTAATCGAATGTTCTACTAAAGACGATGACATCGTCTAGGTAAATCAGACACGATTCCCACTGCAAGCCAGCCAGAACCAATTCCATTAATCGCTGAAAAGTTGCCGGCGCGGAATGTAATCCCATCGGCAAGCGATTAAATTGGAAAAGGCCCTGTGGCGTACGGAAAGCAGTTTTCGGTTTGGATTCGTCATCCAGAGGCAGCTGCCAGAACCCGGACAATAAATCCAATGTGGAGAAGAATCGCGCCCCTGCCAGGGCATCAAGCGATTCGTCCACCCGGGGAAGCGGGTATGCGTCGGCTACAGAAATTTTGTTAAGCCGACGGAAATCCACACAAAAGCGCAATGATCCGTCGTGTTTTTTAACCAGAACGATCGGCGCGCCCCAAGGGCTGCTGGAAGGGGATATGATATCCGCAGCTAGCATGTCGTCTACAGCCGATTTAACATGCTCCTTTTCGGCGGGACTTAACCGAAATGGATTTTGGCGGATTGGCGCGCTGTCACCCGTGTCAATATGGTGTTTCAGCAATTTAGTACAGCCAATATCGTATTTATTTAGACTAAAAACGTCTGAAAATTCGCGAAGGAGGACTCGAAGCCTCTCACGCTGTGGACCGGACAGGTCCACCGATCCCGCGCAAAGCGCATCGAGCCACCCCTCATCACAATCCGAATGTGGTAGCGAGGGCGAACCGGCGCTCACCTGAGCAACAACCGGTTCCTCCCGAGGCACCGGCGTTGCGTGCGCGAGCACGGTCCCCTGAGGAACCACGGCCGTTCGCGACCCCACATTGAGGACCGCGATGAAGGGGTCCTCGTCCCCTTTGACCAGGGTCTGGGCCGCTACCAAGTCGGGTCCGTTGACCTCGGCCCTCGATGGTCCCAACAGAACCCCCCGATCCCCGACGCCCTCCCCAAACGGTCGGCGCAGCCTAAGAGGTACGAGCATTTGAGCTCCTGGCGGTACACGTACCGTCCTCGCGACCAGCGCCGGTACCGTCGCAAACGCCGTACGGACAGTGGTAGCGGGGGATGACAAAAAGGCCATACGTCGCCCCGACGGAAGTTCAATGCATCCTTGGTCGATTAGTATACGAATGGGCATTTTGGCCAAGAAATCCGTCCCCAACAGGCACGGAACCGCCAGCGAGGAGGAGACCAATATCGGGCCGGATAATTTAATGTCCCCAATACAAATTTGCGCGCGGATCTGTCCGATAATTCCCAACGAACCCCCGTTAGCAGCGTAACATGGGACATCAACAGGGAGCAAGGGACGACTTTGAATGGGGAGAATGTTGTAAATCAAATCAGACACAATAGTCGCCGATGCTCCCGTATCAATCAAGACCCGTACCTCGACCCCATCAATATGTCCCACAACAACCGACGACCCCGACGACGCGGCAACAACACGATGAGCCAACTCGGACCACTGGGTCGGTTGGACCGCACACCCGACGGAGGTACGTTTTGGCGTGACAATGGATAATTTCTGACCCCCGTTCGTTGCGGTGTGTGAGTGAGTGGCAGGTGTGTGTGTGGGCCAACCATGTGGGGTGCCACGACTCGCCGGATTTTGCTGGGGAGACTTGGGTCGAGGCGCGACGTCCTGGCGAGGCGTCGCACCACGCTGCCGAGGAGCCCGGCATCCTGACGCCACATGGCCCTGGAGGCCACAGTTGTAGCAGCGCGTGAGTGTTGCTGATGGCTTGGGCTGATCCCGGCGGCTCGGTTCGTCCCGAGCTGGCCGTACTCCGGACCTCCACTCCGTCGGGCGATCCACAGCGCAGATGTCTTCCGCTGGGAGGGCGGATGCAGCCACGGTATGGCTGGCCTTCGCTTTGCTGGCCTTCCGACGTTGGGCCAGCAGGTTGGCATGGATGTGCCGGGCGGCCGTCAACGAACACATTTTTGCGTCGTCCTCAGCCAAGACGACGATGTCCAAATCATCGGCCAGCAGCAGTAGCTTTTCCGTGACCATGGCGTCCACCCCATCCTCGTCCATCCGTGGAAAAGCCGTTTTCGCCAGGGCCAGGAGAGCCGTGCGGTACGCCAGGGGCGACTCCTTGGCGCCCCGCTGGCGATCGTAAAACAGCTGGCGACAGTCCGAGGGTGGTCCATAGACCGCGGCGAGGAGTTGCAGCGCCATTTGCAGCGTGGCGCGCTTCGCCCTTGGTGCCGAGGTGAGAGTGGCGAGGGCATCGCTGTCAAGCATCGCCGGCAGCGCACGTAACGCCTCATCATCGGTCCATTTCGCCATCTCTTGATGGGCGAGGAAGCGCCTCCGGAAGCCACCCCAGTCGCCTTCTCCTCCCACGAATTCCTTGAGAGGTGGCAGTCGCTGTTGCAGCGCAGCGTCCGTAGGCGAAAAACGCTCTCCGTCACTCCGTGCAGCTTTGGCGGGCTGGGCGCGTGGCAACGGCGGTTGCTGTGGTGACGTTTTGTTGTCCGCCGCTGCCGACGTGGCTTGTGGTTGGTGAGTATCGGCCACGTGACGTAGCCCCGCCTCGCCGTCAGCCTGCACTGTACTTATGGCGGGAACTCCAAACTCAGCGTCTCTGGAAATGGCGGGAAACGGCATCGTATGTTGGCCGCCATCGCCCCGTGCAGCTCCTCCCGTCCCCAGTCGGGTAATCTGTTCCAGTGTGGTGGCTGCAGCATAGAGCAATTCTGCCAGTCGAGAGTGGGCCAGCCACAGTCCTTCAGACGACGGTTCCCACTCGTCTTGACGTTGCGGTGTGGGTGGACTTGGCCCCTGCTGCTCGAGTCCGCCCTCAGCCATTTCTGGCTCAAAGTCAGCCGAGGTTTCCTCCGCCCCCGTCTCTCTGGTAGGAGTTGTCCGTCGTGTCTCCATCCTTGTAGAACCACTTCCGACACCAGATGTAGTAAGGTTCCCGGAGACTTGACAACGTAGTTGGAGGCACACGCTTGTTTATTAACACCAGCAAGTAACAGGCAACTTACAGTACTTGATGGGGTATCGGCCCCTTCACCCGTCTACACTACGGAACACAACAGCCTGACTCACAGCTAGCTTACAGCTAGGTTACGGCACCCGGAATACCCAGTCCGGCTCTTAGAAGAGCGTCGGTCCTGGGCTCTTAGGGCCATGCCGCTGGCTTGTCTGGTCGGCCCTGAAAAGGGCAGCGATCCCAGGGAGTTCCAGGGCCTGTCTAGCGAGTCTTCTTTCTTCACTGGTTACAGCTTAACACTAGACCCCGAGCCGTCCGGCTCGCCACCTTAAATAGCCATCCCCCCTTGAGGGGTGGGGCTGTGGGGGATCCCAGCTCCGCAATAGCCCCCCAGGATAACAACGCGGACGTCGCAGTAAACACCGTCTTCGCGTCCCGATGTAGCCACGCCCATTGTGTTTGTTTGCCATCCGTGGCAAGTCTAAATCCGGCCGTCTACAACGGCTACAACGGCTCTACAACGGCTCTACACTTGTAAGAGCCGAGCAGGGCAAGCCAGGGGCGACCTCAGAGCAGCGAGGTCTGTGTCCTTGTGAGGGCCAGACTCGTGTGGCTGAGGGTCGGACCTGAGCCGAAACTGGGCCAGGTCAGTTAGCCTCCACTAGGATGGTCTGAGATAGAGGGGTGTAGTAGGAGCTCACGAGGAACGTTCGCTGAGGAACACATCCTCTAGTACAGTGGTTCTTAACCTTTTTGGAGGTACCGAACCCCACCAGTTCATTTGCGCATTCACCGAACCCTTCTTAATTGTAAAAATAAAATATGATTTTTTCAAATTAAAAACATAGGTATATTTTTTACTGGTGCACAATCATATGAGTCGGGTGTGTGTCTTAACCTCCGCCGAACCCCTGAGACTGACTCACCGAACCCCTGGGGTTCGATCGAACCCAGGTTAAGAACCACTGCTCTAGTGTTAGGGTTCGCTACGTGCTGCTGTATCGTAGCTCTTTTTAATCAATAAGTGTTGCCTCCATCGACGTCTCCTGCACTACTTATGCTCACTACACATACTCACGTTGAGCTTATTTTGTACCCTCCGAAGCTAACCATGCTAATCGGAGGTGTGACGAAGGACAACATTCAATCCGTGCAATGATGACCATGAAACTCCTTGAACGACTAGCCCTCGCCCAGCTAAAACCACACATCACCTCCTCCGCAAACTACTGCTGCTTCCAGTCAGCTTACCGTCAAAACTATTCCACAGAAACAGCACTCACTGGAGTGATCGATGACATTTTAACGATCATTGATTCCGGCTCAACTGTTGCACTTATAAGTCTGGACATTTCGTCAGCCTTCGACACCATCAACCATTCGCTCCTTACATCCCTCCTGAAATCCGACTTCGGTATATGCGGCTCAGCACTCAAGTGGATAGTTTCGTACCTTTCTGACCGGCAATCTTCAGTCAGGGTGGGCATGTTCACATTGCCTGAAACAACAGCATTAAGCGGGGTTCCCCAAGGCTCTGTACTAGGTTCCCTGCTCTTCACAGCCTACACTTCCCCGATCGGCCGGCTCATTGCAAGCTTCGGTGTTAAGCATCACTCATACGCGGATGACACGATTATATTCACCGCCATCGATTATAGAAATGCATCTGGATTCGAGAGGCTCTCGGAATGTACCACCACCGTGCAACAATGGTTCACTGCACACAACCTAGCCCTTAATCCGAAAAAGTCAGTGGCCATCATGTTAGGTACCAAGCAACGTCTTAATTCAGCAGCACTCCCCACACACATACACATCTTCGGTCACAGCATCAAGTTCACCGACCACTTCAGCTACCTCGGTGTCATCCTAGATTCAACTTTATCCTTCGACCGTCAAACCAACCATATCATCAGCTCATGTAACTTTCACCTGAAGGCTCTTAGACACATACGTCCTCTCATCTCTACTGAAATTGCCAACACATTGGCATGTTGCATAGTTGGGTCTCGCCTTGACTATTGTAACTCCGTCCTAGTCCGGACCTCCGCTGGCAGCCTAAAGAAACTTCAAAGACTACAAAATAACCTGGCATGCGTCGTCATTGCCCACACTCATCCCCGTCTCGACTCACTAGCTTGTCTCCGTGCTCTCAACTGGCTACCCATCACCAGTAGGGTCACACAAAATACCGCCTACCTCTGCCACCATGCCTTCATATCGGCCTGCCCACCGTACCTCTCTTCATTATTGACAACTTGCAGCTCAGCACACGGCAGATGCCTGCGCAGCGCGACTCACGACCTCCTCTTGATACCAAGATCCTCTGCACAGCATCACCTCAATTGCCTCCTTTAAGAGACACTTAAAAACTCACCTCTACAATCATGCTTTTGAGCGATTCTGAGCTTGGCTCCGCGCCTCTGAGTTGCGGCCACTACGTCTGCAAATTTGCGCACGTTAGAAATTGAACTATTATTATTAATCTATATATTGGCGACTAAATTGCATAATGCTGTTGTATCCAATTGTGAATCTTATATAAAGTACTGTACATAGAGGCCAAAGACTGAATTACAAGTCAGAGTGCCATGATGCTCAATTGAGCATTTGGAGGTGCTCATCTCATTTACCTTTCTTAGCCATTGGTGGAAATTGCACATTCCTATGGCGGGGGCCGAGATGCCTTAGAGCAACCGCCGTTGAGTACTTACAAAGTGGTGCTCGCAATGTGAATCCTGGGTAGACAAGGAGCTGAATGGACCCGATAATCTGACCCACTCCGACTTGACACTTCGTAGCTCATCAGTTTCCCCCAGCTATAAAGAACGATTCTGATTCTGATCATGAGACTTTAAACTCCCGATCTTCCAATTTCACTAACAAAAATATCGCCACTCCCCCCCTCCCGCTCCACCCACCAACCTTCTCTGTCGCCCCTCCCCTACAAACACAGTGGGAAGAAATAAGCGGGTACGATGAGTTCCACACGCCCATTCAGATGTACCAAGTCTGCCACGTGATGAAGCCCAACCAGAACAACTGGCTGCGGACTAACTGGATGATGCGCGGCGGTGCCCAGCGCGTCTTCCTCGAGCTCAAGTTCACGCTGCGTGACTGCAACAGCATCCCGGGCATCTCGGGCACGTGCAAGGAGACCTTCAACGTCTACTACCACGAGTCGGACAGCGAGCGCGTGTCCGGCATCCACGAGAGCCAGTACGTGAAGGTGGACACCATCGTGGCCGACGAGACCTTCACCGAGATCGATCTGGTCGGCCGCATCATGAAGCTGAACACGGAGGTGCGTGACGTGGGCCCCCTCACCAAGAAGGGCTTCCACCTGGCCTTCCAGGATGTGGGTGCATGCATCGCGCTCGTGTCCGTGCGCGTGTACTACAAGCGCTGCCCACGCACCGTGCGCGGCCTGGCCGTCTTCCCCGACACGGTGACGGGCGCCGAATCTTCCTCGCATGTCGAGGTGCGCGGGGCATGCGTCGAGAACTCGGTCGAGGAGGAGGCGCCGCGCATGTTCTGCAGCGCCGATGGCAAGTGGCTCATGCCTGTCGGGAGGTGCGTCTGCGGCCCCGGCTACGAGCAGGCGGTGGATGGGTGCCAAGGTGAGAGAGGGCGCGTGTGGGGGCTGGGGGTGGTTGGTTGGGCACGAGACGCACGGTCCGGCATGCGGTCCCACGAGGTGGGATAGTAGTAGCTGCGCTGCACAGTGAACGTTTGTGTGTGTTGAACTTCTTTCGCGCCGCACGATGACAACCGTGCTTATTGGTTCGAATGACATGAGCGTTCAACGCACGTTGAAAAGTGCGTGGCTCCGGTGGATTCCTGACATCGGCAGGAAGAGCGATCGAGACGGCCATGGAAGTCACCTGAAAGCGCGCGATGCGATCGCCGTCTTTGTTGTGTGATGTGAGGACATATCCGGGTTGCTGTTGGATTACACCTCGTACGATGATTGGCCCTACCGGTCCTGGCCCATAGCTAATGGGGGGAAGTCTAGGGGCGTGGCCCTGACGTAATGGGAAGGTGACATCTGTAAGTAGAGGATTGGTTCTGCTGGCTTTAGCCACAGCCAATGGGGGGACGAGTCAGGGGCGTGGTCCTGGGAGCGTACGATGGAGTCTAGAAGATTCCATAGAGGTTAACCAGGATTGGTGGAAAGGTACCACATGACCCAGGTATTAAAAGGGGTGGAGACGGACAACACACGTGGTCAGATCTGGAACGAACGGAGGGTGAGGCCACGCTCGTTGCTCCGTTTAACTCGTCCGTGAGTTGCCAGCCGCCACAGACAACGCGAACAGACGAATGTAGCCAACGTACGAGGGCGTCTGAACATTCACTGGGGGCAGTGGGGACTCGAGCTGTCTAGGTGCCATCCGTGCTCTTCACTCCGCTGGGTGCGTTTGTTGTGGGGGGAGGGGGGGTCTGTGCCAATTTCATCTCTCCGGAGTGGGGCACCATGAACCTCGCATCGCGGAAAGTAAAAAAAACTGCGCGGGTTTCCGTGGAGAGCGCATGGCCCCCGCTGTGGGACTGGAATTTTCCATGGTGAGCTCAGGGCCACCAACAGAGATGAGAGCGCTGCTACGTTGCCCACCCCCCCTCCCCGTGAGCTGGGAGCAGAGGTCGCAAACGGGTTTTGATTCCTTACCCGTACGCGTACCCGGCCGCACCAGGGTCGCAAACGGGTACCCGTACCCGGCTGGGTACGGGTACCCGTTTGCGACCTCTAGCTGGGAGGAAATCCGACCGAGTAGAGAGGAAGGCAGAGACGACACCACAGGTCCCGTAACTCGAGCACAGAAGACTCCGTTATAGGAGGATTCATGACCGAATAGACGAGTTAGTGACTATAATCACGCATTGTCACGGGCATGAGCGCTCTGCGCTGGAATTTACACCGTTCTGAAATTATTAATCGCTACTGATTGTCATCTCTACACTCCAAACAACCAAAGTCATGCTTGAGTGTGCGTTGTATTAGCACTGCACTGAGATTGATGTTCCATAGTCATCTATATATATGAATGCGAGACACGGTCATGCACACATCAAACTCTCCCGTACCACATCCTGAGCTGCAAATGCGTCCGGTCGCTATCCACATCTTAAGTTGCATTGTTGTAAGACGCTGTTTGTATTTGTAGGTGTTTTGTGCAGCAGGAATCTTCACGACGAGTTCGCAAATAAGTCGGCCGCTCTCGTCTGGCACAGCCACCAAGGGAGGAGGAAGTGGAGGAAGCACCCCAAGTTGGGGTTGCTGCTCCGACAAGCCAACAGCTGCTACCCAAAGTTCATTTATTAGGTAGAGCCCTGTGAGCCATTCGGCTCTTGAATCGGGTGCAACCGCAACAAACAAAAAACTAAAACATGAACAAAAAACATCTTAAAGCAGTGGTTCTTAACCTTTTTGGAGGTACCGAACCCCACCAGTTTCATATGCGCATTCACTGAACCCTTCTTAATTGGAAAAAATAACCTCCGCCGAACCCCTGAGACTGACTCACCGAACCTCTGAGGTTCGATCGAACCCAGGTTAAGAACCAATGCTTTAAATCGAAATAAAAATTTCATCTCGACGTTAAGTCCTGTTATTTGGTTGCTTCTTTTAATAACGCGTGGGATGGACCGGGTGTCGCCGTGCTGAGAACAGTGCGCGATGAAACCGACCACCTGAGTTTGATTCTCCGTCACAGTGTACACACACACACAGTGTGTACACACACAGTGTCTACAGTCTACACACACACAGTGTGTGTACACACACAGTCTACACACACACAGTGTACACACACACAGTGTACTTACACACACAGTGTGTACACACACAGTGTACACACAGTCTACACACACACAGTGTACACACACAGTGTGTACACACACACAGTGTACACACAGTGTCTACAAACAGTCTACACACACACAGTGTGTACACACACAGTGTTTTGTCGGGGACACAAAGGCGGTCGGGCGTGCCTCGTTCCTATGGCGGGGCTAGTTGTGGTGCTCACTTTACGACGGCCGGTGGTGTTGATGATGGTGATGACGATGTGAGTTGAGTCGTCCCCCAACCAGGGATTGAACTGGCACCCTTCTTCGTTCGATGGTTATTATTTGTTGACGGTAATTATTTTGATGTTGGGTTTAAAGTTACCTTTGCTGAATGCGCCTATTGACACTGGGCGTGTGTTGATTAAAAGCAGTGCAACATGTGTGGAGGATAGAACTAAATTGCCAATATAGAGTTTGACGTAAAATTTAGGGAGCAAAACCCCAGCACTCAACTTGATTTTCAGGTTACGGTTCAGAGGAAATTATTTGGTGGTTGCTGAAAATTTTACAGTTTCAAATATTCTGGAATGCGTCCGAAGAAGTATTCAAAAGGTCGACCGAACATGCAAACGGTAGTGAATGGAACCCAGTGTTAAAATAGCAACGTAATAAATATTTCCTGCAAACAATGAACAATTTTTCTTGGTTCTTTCGGTAAAGTCACGTAGAATGAAAATAATATTATTTCCATTCTGGTTCTTTCGGTAAAGTCACGTAGAATGGAAATACTATTATTTCCATTCTACGTGACGAATGGCGGTTGTTGTTGTCCGGCAAAACAACCCCCTACCTCCTTGTTCGTACCGGACAGCAACGCTGTGATGGGCAGTGCCGTGGGGGGAGGGCCAACTTAAATTCGCCATTCCCCTCATGGCCTTTGTAACCACTGCAGCGGCCAAATGGGGGCTCTGGACAGGTGTGAGGAGCTGGTAATCTCTCCACCTTCAATTCATGACCACAAAGCGACCTGCAAAATATCTAATTCAGCTTGTCCCGGAGGAGCCGGGGGGACAGGCATCTATGACGTCTACTGGCCAAACCCCATTTGGCGGAGCCAGGAGACTGAATCCTTACCCTCGGGGCTCCTCCAGAAACAACAAAAAACCACTGCGGGTGGCCACGTGGAATGTTCAAACGCTCACTGCGGAGGAGAGTATGCCACCCCTCTATCGGGAGCTGGACCGGTACCACCTGGATCTCTGTGGTATTCAGGAGGTCCGGTGGACCGGCTCAGGCTCCTGCCACCATGAGGGGTGGACAGTCCTCTACTCGGGGCATGAGACTGCCAAACAACAGGGAGTGGCTCTTCTGAACAAAACAAGGGGTTGCGGGAGCGTGGTGGTGAGGTGTGGGAAGCTGTAAGCCCCAGGCTACTGTGGGCTCGCCTTCCCATCAACCAGAGGCGAGGAATGGTGGTCGTGGTTACTTATGCCCCCACTGAAGACGAACATCCGTGGAGGGATGCAGGCAAGGCCGATGAGTCAGATGCCTTCTATGACCTGTCACAGGTGTTAGCTAAAGTGGCCCCTTGGGGATAGAGTCATCTTGTTGGGCAACTTCAATGCCCGAGTTGGTCATGATACTGGCACTTGGCCTGCAGTGATTGCACCATAAACTCAACACTGCCCATAGATAATTGGTTCTTTACCCTTCTATCTGGCAACAAAATTGACACCTTTTTGCAAGGAGTCATGTTTGCATAGACCGCAATACCTGCAGTCATAATACAAACAAAAGAACATAACTCTGATAATGTGCACTGTCCTTGAAGTTGATTGGTGTGGACCCAGCAACACTGCACTATAGACTCAACACTGCCATATACTCAACACTGCCCATAGACTCAACACTGCCCATAGACTCAACACTGCACCATAGACTCAACACTGCCCATAGACTCAACACTGCCCATAGACTCAACACTGCACTATAGACTCAACACTGCCCATAGACTCAACACTGCCCATAGACTCAACACTGCCCATAGACTCAACACTGCACCATAGACTCAACACTGCCATAGACTCAACACTGCCCATAGACTCAACACTGCCCATAGACTCAACAGTGCCCATAGACTCAGCACTGCCCATAGACTCAACACTGCCCATAGACTCAACACTGCCCATAGACTCAACACTGCCCATAGACTCAACACTGCACCATAGACTCAACACTGTCCATAGACTCAACACGTGCCCATAGACTCAACACTGTTACCCATAGACTCAACACTGCTACCCATAGACTCAACACTGCACCATAGACTCAACACTGTTACCCATAGACTCTACACTGCCCATAGACTCAGCACTGCACCATAGACTCAACACTGTCCATAGACTCAACACGTGCCCATAGACTCAACACGTGCCCATAGACTCAACACTGCACCATAGACTCAACACTGTCCATAGACTCAACACGTGTCCATAGACTCAACACTGCCCATAGACTCAACACGTGCCCACAGACTCAGCACTGCACCATAGACTCAACACTGCACCATAGACTCAACACTACCCATAGACTCAACACTACCCATAGGCTCAGCACTGCCCATAGACTCAACACTGCCCATAGACTCAACACTACCCATAGACTCAACACTACCCATAGGCTCAGCACTGCCCATAGACTCAACACTGCCCATAGACTCAACACTGCCCATAGACTCAGCACTGACCATAGACTCAACACTGCCCATAGACTCAGCACTGCACCATAGACTCCACACTGCCCCCCCCGCACCCCCCCTACCCCTCCTCCTCACCAGCAGTAGACAGAGGCTACCCTACGCGATGTTGACTCTAGACGTGAGTAGTGCGCAACGCATTCCATGATTGTGAAGCTTAAATCCGCACAGCTCAGCGGGAACCATCGACCATTCGCCAGAGTCGAGCCAGCCCTTGGCAAGGGGCGTGTTGAGTCACCAGAGCTGAGTCTACACGGAGCCCTGGACACAGAGGCTGCTGCAGTCAAGCTGCTGGGTGCTGGCTGGCTTCTAGCTGGGCAACTGCTGCTCCACCATTGCTGTGGTGCTGGGACTGACACCTCCACAGGCAAGCCTCTCATCACCACCACCTCCACCTCATCCTTCTGCTGTGTGGGTGAGTGAGCGAGCGAGTGGGGGGTGAGTGTGTGCGTGTAGGCCCCGGCAAGGTGGAGGTTAAAGGGAAAAGCAGCGATTCTAGATTTGAAGTTTTCGTGACTGCAAGGGTTCATACTCTTAGCGGGTTGTTTTTCGGTAAAGTCGCGTCGGTAAAAAAGTAAAAAAATAATAAAATAGAATAAAAATACATCGACTTATTTTCACGTATAATTATTTTACTTTTCTTATTTAACCTACGTGACTTTACCGAAAAAAACCTAAGAGTAAGAAAAACAATGAGCCTACTTTTACCCTTACCCTATACAAATTATCCGATTTTCATGGTAATTACTGGGGTACTACTACCCATGAACAATGTTTATAACGGTAAATGCTGTAAGGTAGAGCACTTTATTCATATAGAATACTCTCCATGATTCCAATTTTACACGCTGTCGTTGTCGTTGTTGTCGTTGTTGTTGTATCCTCAAATCTTGTAACTCAATTTTAACCCACTTCCCAATGTGGTATCGACTGCAAACTTGGTATACTTATTTCATAGTGATGACAACACTGTCCATAGACTCAGCACTGCCCATTGACTCAACACTGCACCATAGACTCAACACTGCACCATAGACTCAACACTGCCCACAGACTCAACACTGCCCACAGACTCAACACTGCCCACAGACTCAACACTGCACCAGTAGGAGTATAAAAACTATTTCAAAAGTCACCTTTAAAGATCTAAGATGGAAAGCTCTGAAATCAGCTCGTATGCAGGTGCTCCGTGAATTGTTGCATTGCAAGAAAATGTGATGATGACAGCTTGGAGAGGCCTCCATCCAGCATTGGATTTAATTTTGGTTGACAATGATGATGAACATGAATCTCTCACTCGGCTTTGCCGCCTGTTTACATAAAAGACTCACCTGAGCTGTATCGCCACTAGGTGGCACCATATTACAATTTACTCCAATTCTGGCAACATGTTCAGGAGATACATGAAAACGTCGAGGTCTGCTAGCCAGAAGAGGGCTTCGGGAGAGAGTTGGTGTAGCTTTGTTATTCCTTCATTGCAGGAACGAAGACTACAGTGGTTTACTAGATGGTTTACTGTATTTACCGGGTAAGGTTGCCCTTTGAGTTTATTGCCGACGCAACTCAACAACTTAAGCAAGATAAGCGGACTTCCTCACTGCTTGGAACGTGAACCAACGCTCACGGACGGCGCAGTAACAAGGATATGCCCTCGCGGCTAGGAACGGAAACGCACCATCCCTGCAGATCATTGCCAAAAACCTCGACTGCCGCTGGGACATCTCAAACAAATACAATCTCAGTTGGAATGTTTCCATTAAAGCAAACCGTCCTGGATTGTTTAAAACTAGATTTGAAGCTTTCGTGACTGCAAGGATTCATATTCTTAGGTTTTTTTGGTAAAGTCACGTAGGTAAAACATCAAAATTAATGAAAATAAAATAAAATAAAAATCACGACGGTCCCACCTGATGACGGAGACTTGTGTTGCCTCCGAAACGTCGTGATTTTTATTTTATTTTATTTTCATTAATTTTGATGTTTTACCTACGTGACTTTACCGAAAAAACCTAAGAATATTTGTTTAAATCTGTTTCCAAAGACCGGCATGAATGTTCCATTTCTCTGTTAAATGTTCACCATTCATCTCCTCTGGTTCGCGATGGCAGACTACTCGCGCTGTGACACACTGGGTGGGTGTGGCAGGACAAAGTGGCAAGCGAGTGGAGCAGAGGGAACGCCAACTAGTTCCCCTTGCCAAATGAATCTCACCAAAAAACCGCACACAGAGTTGTAATGTTCGGGCCTTTAATAACCCTTGAACAAGATCAAAATGTACGTCTTATTTGGGGCGATGTGTCAGTGGTAAAGGTCACAAGGCTATCACAATTTGTTCAACGAATTGTGCAACGCAACAGTAAATTCCTCTCCACTTAGTGCAACAAGTGAAGGATAATTTATTCCATCACGCGGTAATATTTAACTCTTATGTTATTTCATTGTTGCCGTTGTGATGGGAATTGAACAGAAACACATTCCTGCTGCGGAGGGAGCTGGTAGGAACGTCGGGTTGCACGCTCAATGGCCTGCAGGGTCAACGGCGGCGTGGTGTATTCCGCAAATATGCCAGACTGTGAGGGCGGGCACAAGCCGGCGTGAGTAGGTGAAACGTTGAGTTTTATAAGGGCACCACGGGGTGACCAGCCCCTCCCCACCCTCCCCACCCAGCCCCTCCCCACCCTCCCCACCCAGCCCCTCCCTGCACGACGGACAGACGGACACAATAATCCCCTGTGGGCTGGTGTAACCAGGAGGTTCCCACCAGTATAACTTGTGCTACCTGCGGCAATGTCAAGGTTGCTGTCCCGGCTTCCATTGCTGCCACCAACATGCAGCAGCTCATCTTCCCTCCCGAGATCCATCAAGGCGTGAGTCTGCAGCTGGGACCACGCCGCTCG